ACACACACACACACACACACACACACACACACACACACACACACACACACATTCTCTCTCATAACACACTGCTAGTCTTACTAAAGCCAAAGCCTTAATAGTCTAATTCAAGAAAACAGCAAAGAAAGTACAACTTCAAGTACCTAGGTTTTACAGATTTAAAAATCCTTATTGTCTCGACGCACTACCGGAAATCTTAACAAGTTACGCGCTCACTAAAATCAGTTTTCCTACTGAGTTGGCTTTATTATGTGTACTTGCTGTTTTCATAGCTAAAAAACATGTTATTGTAAGGCGGGTTACCTATAAAAGAAATTATAAACCCATTCTCTGTAAATTTTTGAAAAGAAATTCATGTTCACGACTGAACATAAAAAAGCGTACCAGATTTTTATATTATTATTATTTGTGAGCTTTATCCAGTCCAAGCTTGTTGACAGAGCTCTCCGGTGGCTCCACAAGCCATTTTTAGTCTTTATTATCGTCTGATGCCTCACCTTTAGTCTTTCGTCTCTCACTTTGATTTTTTAATTAGAGGTGACATGAGACTCGACATGAAAGTCCTGATTCTGTACTTTATTCCTGACTTAAAAATAAAAATGTGTTTAGAGAACTGGCTATATTTAAATAAAACGCCTCGTCGTCCCGAAGAGCAATACAGTTGTGAGTTGTGAAGCAGTGTTTGGAAGGGCGTTGTTATTGCTAGCCTAGAAGGCCCTACTTCTTTCTGTTTTCCTTTCTTTCTCACACAGCACTTTAACTGACGGTCATATTGTCGGTGTGCAACTCATTTACACCCCCCCCCCGCCCCCTTTCCATCCCTTCTTTCTCCTTTCTTGCCATCAAAATACACGCAAGTTCCAACAGTGAGCCCTGAGAACCAACGAAAGAAATCTCATGGGTTTATACTGACGTCGACAAAGGTGCCCTCGGGGTCTCAGGGTAATGTTTCAAACAGCAGAGACGCACCTAGGCTAAATAGCAAAGTAACAACGACCAAGCACTCACACTCAAAGAGAGAGAGTGAGAGAGAGAGAGAGAGAGAGAGAGAGAGAGAGAGAGAGAGAGAGAGAGAGAGAGAGAGAGAGAGAGAGAGAGGGAGGGAGAGAGAGAATAAAGATGAGCACAGAGAGAGAGAGAGAGAGAGAGAAAGAGAGAGAGAGAGAGAGAGAGAGAGAGAGAGAGAGAGAGAGAGAGAGAGAGGGGGGGGGGGAGAATGTTGTATTCACTACAGTGCTCACTTTAATAGATATATAGATAATAACAAACACACAAACACACAAACACACACACATACACACACATACACACACTCACATAAAAACGTAACATAAATACACAAACACACACATAATAAAATACACACATACACACAGTAGGAGACAGAGAGAGACAGAGAGAGAGAGAGAGAGAGAGAGAGAGAGAGAGAGAGAGAGAGAGAGAGAGAGAGAGAGAGAGAGAGAGAGAGCGGGAGAGAGAGAGCGCGGGAGAGAGAAATAGAGCGAAAAAGAGGGAGAGAGCGAGAGAGAGTGAGAGAGAGAGAGAGAGAGAGAGAGAGAGAGAGAGAGAGAGAGAGAGAGAGAGAGAGAGAGAGAGAGAGAGAGAGAGGGGGGGGGGGAGAATGTTATATTCACTACAGTGCTCACTTTAATATTTTTTTTTTTTTACAAAACTTACCGCCTCCGCCACAAGTCCTGTCCCGCAAGCAAGGTCAAGGATTTTCTCCTTGCTTTTGTCTGGAAAGAGTTCAGAGGTCAAGTCTGCAGCTTTCTCCGGAGCGATGTACTTGATTCCGCCAACGTACTGGAACAATACGACATCATTTTATGACCATTGCGGCACAGTCCGTGATACATTAATTTAATCAGGACATGAGAATCTGAGATTCGAATAAGAGTTGATACCAGTTTTCCCCTTTTTGGAGTGAATACATTTTTCCTACCGAGGTGTCCGCCCCAGGGGATCACGTTCTTACTGCTATTCCCTTCACGAAATTCTATGTAGACAGACAGAAAGAGAGACGGAGAGAAAGTTGAGGGAGAGAACGACAAGTAGACAGTCACACACACACACACACACTCTCTTTCTCTCTCTCTCTCTCTCTCTCTCTCTCTCTCTCTCACACACACACACACACACACACACACACACACACACATACACATACACAGATAGATAGATAGATAGACAGACAGACAGACAGACAGACAGACAGACAGACAGATAGAAAGAAAGAAAGATAGATAGATAGATAGATAGATAGATAGATAGATAGATAGATAGATAGATAGATAGATGACCACTTTCCAAACACACACCTCATTGAAGTCTGGCGCCATCTCATTATAGGCTTGTACGCTCTCCTCTCGGCTCATGCCCACCCTGAGACATTTGTCGTTCACGTATTCCGACATGGCCCTATGGTCGCTTCGGATGCTGGAACCAGACGATGCAGTGAAGAACGAACAGTCAATAATTTGACCCAAAGAAGGACTTCTGCTGCTAAAAGCTGAAACAAAACCACGTTGTGTTATAATTTTAGACATCTACACCTACATCAGTAAAGAATCTTGGATGGGGGGGGGGGGGGGGGTATACTCAGTGGTGCAAATATAACATCACATACAAGTACAAGAGAATCAGCCAGCCATTTGTAAATACGTATTAAAGCCCTACATAAAGCTTCTAATTTCCACGGTGTGTTAGCTTCACCACATCTCGTGGTCTCAGGGGTCTTTCCTTTTCTCAAAGATCAGTCGACCTTTCAGATCAAGTTGCCCTACCAGAAGAAGAGTTGACCAGAAAGTGTCTACATCAGAGACGCCTAACTTGTTTATAATTGGGGTACAGCCAACGTGAACACAACTTTGCAAGACGTGTGTGCATCTTCTTGTACGAAAATGGATAAGAAAGTAATGGAAGTTATGACAAATCTCCAAAGCTGTTGATGCTATGGACTTAAAATTTTCACAATCCCTTGAATTGTTTCTTTCGACTTTGTATGCAGGAATTCAACTACCACAGCCACTTTTTAGAAGCACAGCGTAGTCAGCTTCCATTGTGCTTAGCAGCTCTGAATATACAGCTCTTCACCATCACTGCCTTTCTCACCCTATATGAGAGCATAGCCCAGTACAAACACTTTCCACCTTTCCTTATCACGAGCCAGTTTCTTAATAACATTCCACGTCTTCCCATTTTTCTGTTTCTCAATCTTTGGGACTTTCCTCCGGGCTCCACTTGGCCTTTTCCCCGATTTCTTTTCCTGTGGTTTCCAGTTCAACCCATGTTTGTTATGCAGCTGAGAGTCTGTCCAATTTATCCCCACCGCCTTCTTCCCACGCCACCTTCGACTGAGCTCTGTCTTGTTCTCCTTGACACTCCCTTTTTGGTGACCCTGTCTGTCCATCTGATCCCGAGTTCCATTCTCAGTTACAGCTCGTTGTTAGGCCGTGAATGTGTTCAAACTGTCGTCCAGTGAAGCTTATCTCCCAGAGCAGAACATAACCAGAAGCCACAGCAAACTAAGTCACCAATATAGATGGAATGTGAAAAAACTTGAATCCCTTGCTTTCGTAGGTACAGAGTTGTGGCTTTGGCTTTGTAGGGAGCTACATTGTCGCGAATGGGGGATTGTGACGTGAATCTAGTCTTTGGTTTATGCTCATCAACTGCATTTTTTTTTCTCAACTGGAGCTATACCCTTTGCACATAAAATCTAGTAAGAAGGAGTCATAACAGTCCATGTATATTATGTAGCATGATACCAACAACGAGGGGGACCACTGTAATTGAAATGGCAGTAAAAACTTCTTTTTGCGTTGACATTTTAGACGCAAAATGGCAAGCTTGTCTCCTTTTTCTTTCATCCACATGCAATTCAGCCCTTTTGATGGAATTTGTTTTTAAATTGAAAAGGGAATCCATGGTTTGTCTTCCAAGACAATGTCTGTAAGTTCCTTAGGCCTGTGGGGCTCAAAGACGTTGAGAAATTCTATGGCACATTTTACCCCCCCCCCCCCCCCCCCCCTTTAGGCCGTGGGGGAGGAAAGGGGGCCCAAAAAAAAAAAAAAATTTTTAATAGGGATTTCTCCACAAATGATATTTTGCACCGACACAAACAGACATATCACTAAGTTCTTCTACAGAGGTATGGGGTCTTGCGAAATAATAATATGGTGCTAGGTAATATCAACAGTTTTCTCGTTCACATAAACATTTTGGTGGCCAGAACGTGGGTAATTAAAAAAAAACCCAGTGTCTCTCCCTTCACTAAATGTTCTTATCCAACGAGAAACTGTGTTACATGAACAAAACTATTCCCAACAAACACTGCAAATTCTTATGAACTAATTTTGGCTGTGCGTCAAATTTACATTTAAAAAAGCTACAAACTAGCCTAGAAGTTATCTTTTGCGAATTTTGTCGCGTTTTCATTAGAGCTCAAACCGTCTTTTGTTTGTGACGTCATAAAATAATCAAGACTGGCGTCACATGGAACTGCAACGGTTGGTTCGAGAGCACGGAGTAATTATGTGTACTGCTTTTATAAAAGAAGGCAATGTCATAGCCGTTTAATATGCAGCTTCCATTACTTTCTGACCCACCCTCGTGTTTTTGTTTTTTCTGTCGTGGAGTGCATGTGATGAAGCATGGGAGCCTTTTGAAATAAAATATTTTAAATTCGGTCTTTAAATATTATATTTCAAAATTCTGTGACAGATTCACAGCACGCACTCGACTATAGTGAGACATGGAGACTGGCGTTTTGCCCTTCATTTTAGCGCCCAAGTTGTGCACTCTTAGCAGCGAAGTTTTTATAGAGAGCACGAGCGGCGTCAATGGCAGTGCACTGTATAGGGTATTATAATTCAAGTCAATGACAGAATCTTGATTTAAAGTTTGTTGATCTAAAATTTTTCTTTTTTTTTTGGGGGGGGGGGGTGACAAATTTTACCCCGTAATTCTGTCATTTGAATTCTACCCTCCTGCTCCAGCACCTTCTGTCTTTTCCCACCACGTCTATGGTCAGAGGTCACCACAGTGATATAACCATGGCATCTCAGCAAATTAACTCTTTACAAACCAAGCAGGCACATTAATAATAAATGTCCCATCAGCAGCACAAAAATAGTAACCCAAGAATTACAAAGTTCTGTTTGCTCAGTAGGCCTACCTAGTTTTGAAAATGTTGACGTAAAAATGTTTGAGTTTCACAATATTATGTCAAGCTTTCCCGAATGTCCTTCTTTAAATATCTTGATAGTGACTCCTAATAATCTTACGATTTTGATAGAGCAGATAGGGCATTTGGTATCTGACTTCGTGGTCTTTGTCGCTCAAAACAGGAAAAAAATGTAAGATAGGACTTTGTAATTCTAAGGCAGGGAAATGGCAAAGTTGCGCTATATTCTGAACAATCATACGTACATCATAAACAGGAATTTGTATATCGTTGGGAAGCGGTTAAAACCTGCTGAACCCCCAAAACCAAACTTTAGAATACATTACGTATCTTCTCTCGCTTTTTTCAAAGTATAGATTTTTGGACGTCGACAA